TAACAGCTTGTAATTCTCATTTACATCAAAGAATAATATACAAGCTAGCATGTTTTAAAGTGAATCATTTCTGCACAGTTTTTCTATGTTTCTGTGGTATTTTGTAGGCTACTCTTCAGTTGTTCCACTAACTGAGTCACACCAGGAAGTATGTCCCCCATGCCCCCTCCTTCCCAGCTCATTATGTCATAACTTGTATGTATCAAGGATGATTTTTGCAGCTCAGCTTTGACCCAGATGTGACAGACGCTCTGTGTCCCGTGTCAGACCATAACTGTGCGTTCCTGCTCTGTTTCAAGGTTAAAACACTCAGACTAAACCAGGATATGTTGTTTGAGTGTTATGCAACTCTGCCGCGTTCACATGTTGATAATGGAAGAGAAGCAGAAGACAGTTCAGCGACAGTTCAGCTAGTTTTTTTGCACGAATCAAAGGTGATTTAGGGTCATACAGTCCTATGAATTAACAGAAAAATGAAAGAAATTAAGAAAAATAAATGTTTTTAATAATCTGTCCATGTTTAAGTCAGTACCAGCCACTGAGAATAGATCACGGGCCATGAGAGCCTCAGCAACAGCTTAACAGATTAACTGTTCTCCCTGATTTTCTTTCTTTCTTTGTGTTTCTTTTTTTCTTTTATCTTCTTTTATGACTGTCCTCAGCAATAACATTGTCGACAGCTTAAAAAGACCTATGGTCTGTTTTAATCCATGAATGTGCTGTTTACATGGCTCTATTGGCAGAAATGGAATATAATATTCATAGGTATGTTTTCATTAGTGTATAATCACCTTGAAATAAAGATCCTTGTGTTTTCGTTACCTTAAAAACACAACCCAAACACTGGCTACTCGCCCCACACACTGGACCTGCAGCATTCTTTCATTTTTTAATTTTTTTTAAAACTTTTTTTTTTTTTTTTTAATTGTTGCCATTCAGGGGCAGTGGAACGAGCTATAACTCGATTATCACCTTATTAATTTGTAACACAATTTGTGTTAGCAAACCACTGAAGTCCTGTTTGTGTCCACCTGATGAATGTAAGTCCAATATTCACTCTCCTTCTAGTTGGATTTGGTCTCCACTGATTCCTGAGAAACATATCTGGCTGCTAAATGTTTCACGTTTTCCACCATCTAGTTACTAACTTTGTCTTTGTGCTGCACTGTAAACAGATACACCAGTTGCTCTTCTTTTGCCTGATTCCTGACTGAAATCTTTGTTATAACTTTAAGCAGGATGTGGGTTTCTTTGCACCATGAACATGTTCTTTCTCTAATCTTACCAAGTAGCCTAAACTGTACTGCTGTAGTGTCTTCCTCCTACAGAAAACCTCTCATGTGGGGCATTTTATCTACAAATGACTTATCTGTCACTCAGGTGTGGTGTTCCTTCAGTGACTTTTCCATAACTTTCCATACCGACTGATCTCCTTCCAGCAGTTTCAGTCTGTTTCTATGGTTTTCTGTTCTGCAGACACATCCTATCAACATTTACTCACCTCTGTTATTCTGACAGCATTATATCAACCAACTGTCTGAGGATGAAACTTCACAACATCCCTGTTAGTTTACCTTCATGGTTGGTTTTGACAACCTGACGAAATAGTACGTTTTGATTGTTTGTTTGTTTTTTGAGGGGATATTGACAATATTCACTCAGTTTAAGTCTGTTGTCATAGTTGTGTAATGTGGTGGGGGTTTTGTGTAGGGACCAATAGGGACCTAAAAATGCTTTGACTGGCCAGACTGGCAAAAGTTCGTTGTTGGGCCACACTATGAGCTAATAATGCACAACCTGCTTTAGTTCATATTGTATGTTATGGTGCAATTTGCAATTAATCAAAGTGCCAAAAAACAAAACAAAAAAAGCAGTTTCCACTCAGTGAATGTGGGGCTTTTTGTGGACCATGGGGGTTTGGTGTCCGGGGTCAGTTTCCTGCTTTGCCAGATTGGAAATCAGGTGTGTGTTGGCTTGATAAAGTGAATAAAGAGACTTGTGGTGTGTTTATGGTCCACTTCATCCCCGACAAGATCTTCCCGTCAACACTTTGAACATAAAAACTGCTGATTAAATTCGCCTCCGATCAGGAACGTAACACAGGCTAAACACGCTTGCACTCTTGTAACAACACAGAGTGGATCTGTGCTCTCTGCTGCTCTCTGTGTAAGCCGTTACGTGGCTTTCAGTTTGTTTGAGAGTGACGGGCTGTGAAGGGCCAACAGGCAGTGCCACTTTACACAGCAACAAATAAGCCTTTATGTCGTACCTGCACCTGTGTGTTTTTGCTGGCTTTTTTTTCCTCTGTGAAAGAAACCCGCACATGCAGGGTGTAATTTGCAGAAATAGGCCAGTCATTTTATACTTGCAGGCTGTGGGCTGCACAAAAAAAAGCAAAGTACTGCAAAGTATTTTCAGAGAGGTGGGTTTTGGTGCTGTTGTGGTTTAAGTGGTGACCCATAGGGGGTTACCATGCAGGTCAGACACACTTGTATCAATGTACTTTTATATTCTCACCAATAGAAAAAGAAATAGAAAACCAAATTACATAAAATATGTAAAGAAAGAGGCATTCATACACACGTGTGTAGGGGTGTAAAATAAAGGATTACATGAAAAAAACCCACCTAAATGAATTAAACAAAAAAATGTAAGTAAATATGTAATAAACATAATAAAAAGATACAATTTACACATAAATATTTAGTAAGTTTTTTTAAAATAATTTTTAATAAATAATTTTAAAGTTTTATTTAGGGTTCAGGCACAATCACAGTTCCCTGCAGAGGGAAAAAAACAACACATTTTCTAACCCCAATTAGCCCAATTAACCCAATCCAAATCAAAGCAGCCAATCACCGCGCCAATCAGCCAATCAATCAAACCAACAAACCAATTTTTTCTTCCAAATGTATTTCTTTTTCCTGCTGGTTTCCCGCTCTCCCCTGCAGCAGCAGCAGCAGCAGCAGCTCGGTGCTCGGCGGTGTTTTAGACGAGAATGTAAGCTAGGTGGCCGCACGAACACATTTATCGCGCCGAGGCTGTGCCAGACGCACATGGGATCCGTCCTGCGTACCCGGGGATCTTCAGCACCCGCAGCCGAGCGGAGGGCACCCTCAGCCCGCTCAGGAGCAGCGCTCACCCTGCCTGGACTCTTCCTCTGACAACAACAACAACAACAACAACACACACAAAACAAACAAAAACAACAACACATTTCTGAGGTGATCTTCTTCCTCCCCGAGAGGCTCTGCGCGTTATTTATTTATATCGTGTGTGAGCCTGACAGCCCGCCGCGGCGGACAAACTGCGTCTCAAGCGCGGAGAGGTCGGACTTCTTCGGCTGGGGGGGTAAAACACAGCAAAACACACGCGAACAGACTCCCGTCCGGTCGCCCCCCGGTCTTTTTTATTTCCTGTCAGTTCTTCTTGCGATTGATTTCCTGCTGCCAAAACCAGGAACCCGGGACCGAGAGCTCCGAGGATGAGAGAAAACTAGATTTGTGATCGAGGCTTGTGAGGTTGTTTTACTGGATTTATTTCGCTGTGGAGGAAAAGAGACCCGGGAGCGGAGCGGTGCGCGACACACACACACACAAAACAGAAAAAAGAAAAACCCACGCCGAGGTCTTCTTCCTCCTCTCTTCTCTCCTCTCCCTCCCTCTATCTCTCCATCTATCAATCTGTCTACCTATCCTCTTCTGTCTATCTATCTCTCCATTTGTTTCCATGTCTTTAGGTCCGTGCGATTTTGCTAAAATGCATCATCAACAGCGGATGGCAGCTTTGGGAACAGACAAGGAACTGAGTGACTTACTGGATTTCAGCGCGGTAAGGGCATTCATCTCCTGCTTTCTGTTAATATGGATAGAAATGACTAGTATGATGACAGTAGAAGCCGTAGAAGAGAATAAACGCGTCCTGTACGCTTCATACAGCGACCACTGTTTACATTTTTAACCTGTCAGTTGCACATAACCTGCATATTTTAGCTTTCACTCAGTCTTTCAACTGTTTGCACACAAAAAAAGTTGTGTGTTTATGTAGAGTAACTTGCAGAAAAGTCAGTGCATATTGTTGGTTTTGTAATTTCTTTTTTTTGTTTGTGTGTGTGTGTGCAGAGAATTGTGATGCTGCATTAGTAATTTTGTTGTCTTATAGATGCGAAACAGCGATTTGAAAATGTTCCCAACATCCATGGTAGTATATCTCATTTTAAGTCCTTTTTTCCTTCATGTGTAAGCCTGATTTTTTTGCCCATGATAGGATTTAGAAAATGTTTCTTTTTTTTTTTGTCTGTGTGAGTTTATTGGGCTGCTCCATATGCACTCTGCACCGGGGTCGCACAGAATGTTTCAGATGCAAAAAGGCTCGGTGTTGAATCATGAACCTGTATGACTGACAGACAGACAGACAGACAGATAGACAGATAGACAGAAAGACAGGCAACCGAATAGAGAGAAATGTGTCACACATTGTCCCCGCAGTTTAAATGCGCCTGCAGCAGGCTGTGCCATGCCCCAAACTCACGGCTCCGTTTAAAAGTTAGTGTTTTTGTGAAGGGACAGTCTGCGTTGTGAACTTGACGGACAGGAAACAGCGTCCCCCGCTCTCGGCCATGTTTTCTGTGAGCCTCTCCTCCTCTGGGAGCAACTTTAGTCTGAAGAGGAGGAGAGAAAAAAAAATATCAGAAACACCCCAAAATGAAGAGAGAGAGAGAGAGAGAGAGAGAGAGAGAGAAAACAAGCACTTCCATTAATCCTGTTATGAAACGAAGAGAGAGAGCATGAACAGACTGATCAGAAATATCTTTCTAATATCTATCTATAGGAATGAAGCTACTGATGCTGCATGAGATGCAAACATGAGAGAACATCACTGCATTTTCCTGCAAGAATGTTAATGCAATAAAGGAATTAGATAACAGCTAAGACCTGCACACACAATGTAAGTGAGTGGAGGAGAATATATCCGTGGCACTATTAACATGTAATACCAGATCTCAGTTTTAAAAGAATGGGACTAGTGATGCAGCACGATATGCAAAAAATAGGAGATCAAATTCCCATAAATGTAGCTCTCAATCTCTACAGGAACGCTAACGCAATAAACAAATATCATAAACCCACAGCTGAGGCCTGCATGCACACTGTATGTACAGGAGATAGCATATGAGATTTTAAATTCAAAAGCTAATAAAAGACCAAAATAACACAATAATCCCCTATATTTGCCCTATAGTAATTTTTCAATATTACAGAAACACCATAGGTCATACAGTTTGTATCCACTCACTATATAAACACTGAATACTGTAGGAATATTATGTTATTGTGAGATTTTTAACAAAGGACGTACAATAGGATGTCAGAACTGAGAACTAAAGACATGCCTTTATTAGCAATATTCTAATAATTAAAAAATATATGTGCTGCCATGGCTATATAGGCCTGTGTGTACCATAAAGTCTCTATAGCAGCATTGTAAGAATATTATAGGAATGTTATGGTGACATTTATTCAAAAAGCCTGACAATAAGACAATTAAATTAATAATTGAGTACAATAGACATGTAATAATCCATGTAAGAATATTATAGAGATATTTTTATCCCCATATAGTGGCCTTTTATTTTAAAAAAAGCATAAAATAGGATCACTAAATCCATTATTAAGACCACAGAGAGATAATAAACCTCTATATGAACTTTTTCAAAGGTACAAACAGTCCAGCAATACATACAGCAAGCCTGTAAAGCTATATAGTAAAATTGTAGGTGACAAAAATATCATAAAGACAAATTTAATCACAATAAACTGCTCATTAATGACACACTTATACTATAGTATAATAATACCTTTTACAGGATTATAATTGTGGACAAAAGTACAAAATAAATCATTATAGAATCATTATTTATCAGCACAGGAATGCTCCTGAGTGCCTGAGGTCTATCACAGGAACATCATTCCTGTGTTTAATTTTTTACAGTTTTCCAAAAATGTCAATCAGCCCATCTTTAAATTATATTTCTTGAAAAAAATGTTTAAACAAAGGAGGGCAGCAGCAGCTAGAACGTGTCTCTTCTCATTATAAACGCAGGCCGGTCGCATTAATTTATGCGATCATCTGTCTTTGCACGCCCACAAGCTGACACCAGCAGCTCAAAGTGCTTCGACTGGGATATCGATAGACCTGCTAATAATCAGAATTACGTCTTTCAGCTCCCGTAACGTTTGTTTTCCCTTTATTTGTCGCAGCCGGGAGGGACATCAAACACACAAGCAACCCCCGTTATCCAACGTGCACGCTTGCAGGCCCCACAGGCTGCCATAAGAACAATGGCACATCAAGTATCTATTGTTTTAGTCAGGGTTTAATTTACTCATACAGTGGTCAATTCAAAAGAAGAGAAAATTGGAAAAAAATTCAAATCCTGAAAAGCTTTTAGCATCTGAAAGAGTGTGTTCACGATCACTGAGATTTCAGCATCAAACACACTGACACACAGGCCTGATGTTTATCCAGAGAGGTTATCTATCGGGGTCACGTCTCACTTTGATAACATGAACTGTTCTCCCATGAAGCTTTACAGTAGAGTACAACAACAGAAATCAGTATTCAGCTTCAGTCTCTGTCTTAACGTGGGCTTGATTTTCCTGTAGATGTGTAGAGCAGATGGTAACTAGTTCTGATGATTATCTCACGTGTTTAAGTCAGATATGAAGTAGATATGAAGTGTTTCATTCCAAAATGAGTCGACCAACATTTGGCTAAAGTGACACTTTCTGAATGAGAGCACATTTGTAATAAAGGTGAGCAGGTGATTTATTTCATCCTGTTTATGTTTTACAGATGCCGAATGAGGAATTTGATCTCTTTCTGCTTCCCCAAAAAACAAACCCACAGTGTTTTGGAAAATTAACTCTTCATATCTGTGTTCAGCTCTGAGCTGAGGGTCTGTGTGATCATTGGGGCCGGGTATCGAACCTCGCTGCACTGCTCAGACTTAAAAGTGTCCATAGTAATGAAATCAAGAGGTGTGGACTCAAGTCACGACGTGGACCAGAGTCAGACTTAAATCATGAATCTGACTTTAGACTTGACTTGAAAACAAAAACTTTGCCACTCAACTTTAACACCACTAAAAATTACAGTTTATTACAAAAACACAAATTGGAAAAAGCATGAATTATTTCTGACTGTTACTCAGTTTATTATTTTTTAAATATACTAAATTTGGTGAAGGGCACATATTGATTTTAGGAGCTGAAATGCAAAGTAAAGGACTTGGACCTGGTTTGGGACTTGATGTCTTCCCATGGGATCTGAATTGGGTCTTCCTTGGACTTGGACTTACCTTGACTTTAAACTTGACTTGGGTTTACCTGTCCTGGGACTTGACTCAGGACTTACATTGCCCAATATGTTCCCACTGGCCACCTCTGATTCACAGAGTTAGATGTGAAAATATTCTGACTCTACAGGTGTTCTTCTTCTCACTTGTTCTTTTGTGTACTGTGCCACTGAACGAGAGGGAACAGCGGTTCTCATTCTTCGGAGGCAGAACATTGAATAATAATGCTAATAATAGCTAAATAAAATGACAAAATTCATCCAATTGCCCAGTCCTATTACTTGTCTTCCGATGAGATTCGGTACTTACTTTTCTTGATGTTGGGCTTGGTAGTCTTAATTTGGGACTTCTTGGACTTGGTGCAGGATGTACCTGTTTTGACCTGTTTTGGCCTTAACATTGGACTTGACTGGGAAGTTGTTGGACTTCTCATGGGACTTTACTCTGAACTTACCAGTCATGACTTAGACTGAACCCGGAACTTGTTGGTCATGACTTGGGACTTGATGGCAAAGGTTTGAGACTTACTTACGACTTGACTTTGTCCCACCTCTGCAGGCATTAAATCCTTGTCAGATTTACAATTTTGTTGAGTTCTTCTTTGATGAGATAGTTCCTGATTTTAAGCAAATTCTTGACAATTTTAGACCAATATAATATAGTATATAAAACCTATTTAAATTTCTTTTAGTCAAATATAGAAAACTATTTATTATTTTTGGTATTGGTACCAAAACAAAACGGAGTGATACCCAGCCCAAGTGATGATGGACCTTTTGTTTTCTTGGTAAATATCCACAAAGAGTTTCCTTCCAAAACGAGATATCTATTTTAAAAACTGCTCTGATCAGATGAAAAAAAGCTCATTCAATGACTGTTTAATATTAGACATTTCCTAGCAAGATTGTAATGTGATGAGAATCTGGCAGCAGCATTTTGCAGCCAAATGCTGCCCTGGCGTTTTGGAATGAAGCTCTTCATGTGTAGCTGCAGTGATGTTTCTGTAGAGATGTGTCTTGCTGTCTGCAGTGTCAGTGCTCTCGGAGGTAATGTGCGCTCTGTTTGTCTTGTAGATGTTTTCCCCTCCTGTTAGCAGTGGAAAGAACGGGCCGACCTCCCTGGGGAGCGGACATTTCTCCGGCTCAAGTACGTCAGCCTTTTCTTTTTTTTCTTCTTCTTCTTCTTCTTCTTCTCTTTTCCTTCTCTCAGCCTCCTCCTCTCCTTCCTCCTTACACCTGCTCACTGCTGCTTTGCTTGCTGTTTGGATTTTCTTGTGTCGGTAGACATGTTCTGTACATGCAGATGCAGTTTTGGGGTTTTATGCTGTTTTGCTTCGTGGATCACTTTTTATTTTGAGGAGGCTTGACAAATTGCAGGGTTTTTTTGTAAACTGTAACTTGCTCATGTATTATTTGGTGTTTTTGTTGAGCTGGTTGGTGCTTTCTGTACTGAAATGCTTCTTAAAATATCACGTTGTATAAACAGTGAGGTGACATGCTCTGATTATATGGCTTTGATTACCTGTTAAACCATCTCTCAATGCTTCACTGCCATGTCCCAAGCCCATTGATTCCTACCAAAGATGTAAAGAGTATTTTTCTAAAACAGCTGGTCACTGTAGTTTTTACCAAACACTACTCAAACAGGAGGAAGTAGTGCTTTTGTTAGTTTTCAGCAGCGGATTAACACACATTGGGTGCTGGATTCTGACCAAAGAGGTTGAATTTCATAGTGATTCAAGTGACTATGTGTAACATTTATACCCATTTGTTCTGTGCTCATGTGTAGCTTGCACCTGCGTCCAAGTGAATGACATACTGTATGAATGTCGTGGTCTAAAGTACGCCGATTTTTCTTGTTTCTTTATTTTGGGCCAACGCGTTTTGTTTTTCAGCTGCTCAAGTTCATTCCTAAAGGAGACTTCCTGTTTTTCTGATTTGCTGCTCTCATTCTTTCCTGCCTCTGTGTGTGTTGTGGAGATCAGTCCACTGTGTTTTTCTACACAGTGGTGTTGTTGGTGTGGAACAGGCACAGTTTGGTTTCATCAGTGGTGGGACACGGTGGCTTTGACTTTGAAATGTTATGGGTATCAGTGTTTAAAAGTGATGTCAACTTCTTTGTTTTTTGTCTGTTTCATTCAGTCAGTCAGTAAATTAGTCACATGTACAGTAAGTAAGTACAAATTTGGGGTAGAGCTGAATCCATTAGTCGATTAATTGATAGGTTGATTGACATAAAATGAATTGCTGTTTATTTTGCTAAGAAATTTTTCCATTTTTCATTTAAATTAAGATTAAGAAAATATTCAGCAGATTGATTCATAATAAAAATAATCATTAGCTGTTGCAGTCCTATACATATACAGTACGTAATGTGTGATTGATCCATTCGCTCAGTCAGTCAGGTAGTCGGTAAAGGTTCTCCATGTGTCAGTCAGCCCTTCTTTCACTAACACACTGAGCCCTTTATTCATTCATCCCATCAGTCTGGAGGCCAGTGAGTGAGTTCATTAGTGAAAGAGTCCGTCAGTGTGTAATTACTCAATGTGTTATTGATTGATTGAGTCGGTCAGTCACTTAGGCCACATTCAGACTGCTGAAGTCTGTGTGAAACAACGATGTGTCATCGGGTATTAAAAGGTGGCTCTCGTGCTCGACCACATTGTGACATCATCCGACAAGGTGCTGACGCGCAAGCATACATTTGGGGTGGATAAGTTGTACTGTAATGTGAACGTACTGTTGACCTTGTGATCATCGTTACTAAAGAATACATAATTGCAGCTGTGACTTTCTTAGTGAGTTGTGAAGTTGGTGAGGTATATTTATGTGTATCTATGTATGCATATATGTAGGTTTAAATCAGTGATCATGGAGTGCAGATGCAATGTGGACTCTTGCTCATATTCTGTGTTTTGTTTTATGTTGATTGCTAAGAGCTGTTGTCGGGCAGAAACCTTGTATGTCCGAAAAGTGAACAGGAAATAAAAACATCCCTGTGTTTTTAAAGATCCCCTCCAGACAAATAGTCAGCTTGGAACAATAATGTGTGTCTGATGTGTTTTTTCCAAAAATAAAACGTAGCATTTCCACATTAAAATCTTTAAAAAGGCATTTACTACCTCATTATAAATTCCAGAATCTTTGAATATGCCGATGTTCATTTCTAACATTTTTCTTAAAGATGTCTCCTACTTCAATGTAAAGTCCATTCTCAGTGGATGTGCACTGGTGGCTTCAAGTTTCACACAGTACAAGTTGCATACTGGACCAGTATCAAGTGATGAACAAACAGACTTCCTTACAGATAAAAACAGCAGACATGTATGTACGAGTAATGATAATAAGTACTATGCTGTCAGATTCTCCTCCTCTTTTTGATTGCGCTGTATGTGTGTTGTGTTCTATAACATCCTCCGTCCGTCAGACCAGGAGGACACTTTCTTTTTAAAGTCTTTCCTGGAAGCTGTTCACAGAAACGAGCCGGGTCGTTTGTGTTGCTCCCGCTCATGTTATTTGCCTCTAAACAGCGTTCGGAAGCCATTTTGTTTGTTGGCTGGAAAACAGAGAAATGTCGAGACATCTTCTTTGTTTACTGCTTCGTTGTGTGCTTGTTGTTGTTGTTTGTGCACTGCGGTTTCGGCGGTGTTGCTTGCTCCCATGCCGTGCATACAAATGTGAGGAAGGACGACAAATGTTACGATTTCTTTTGGGGGGGGGGTCATTTTTTGTAGAACTTGTAGCGGCTGCTAGGCCTCGGTTTGCTGCTTCGATGTGTATCTTCATTTTGAGATTGTTGTTTTTTTTCTCTTTTGATACAGGAACACACACTGGTGTCACACACGCATGCACTCATCCCTGTACACAAATCACACTCTGTTTCTCGCACACACACATCTAAACACCCACAAGTACAAGATGCAACACACACACACACACACACACCCGCACACACACACTCTGCTCACCCCTGCTGTGGCTTTCTGCAGGCCTCGGCATTTTGATGAGCCCGGCGCTGTTTGTGAATGCAGCTAATTAGAACTCTATAGACCTACACAACCATGAGAGCAGCGGTTTCAAAAAGCTGGGGTGAGGCCAGAGCCTGGGACACACCGACACTGAACCGGGTCCACACAGAGGTTAAAAAGATAAATTGGATGAAACGTCATATTCATATTTACTCCTGTTAAGTATTTTCTTCTTGAGCTCAACACTTATCTTATAGTGTCTTATCGTATCAATTGATATCAATTTATTTGGTATTTTAAAAACCCAAAACAGTAGCTCTGGCTCCAGGCCTAAATTGGACTTCTGGCAGCTACTCAGGGGCCTCCATGGGGGAACCCAAAACTGGCAAATTTTAAAGTGAAAAAACCCTTGTATGTAAAATGTCAACTTTTAATGAATTGTTTTTATTCTAGCTGGATGACGGCATGTTGTTGGTGTTATTATCCAGATGGATTTGAGAAAGGTTCATGACCTTAAAGGGCGAAAAATGGACGAAAATCCCTGGAATTACAAGGTTCTCACCAGCTAGTGTTGAATTTTAAAGTAGTTAACATTTCTTAAACTATTATTGTACAGTTTTGTGAGCTGCCAATAGAGAGAAGTGAATCAGGTTAACCCTTTTGTGCCCACAGCTGAAATTTTGAATATCCTTTGGTGGACGTGTTCTCTGGGCGTGCCAAACCACAAATCTGATGAAATTTTCAAAATGACTGTTGAAAAGGCTGAAAAGTGAGTTTTTCTTATCATAGTATATTTAGTCTTTGGGCACATGCGAGTACTGTTTTGTTCTAAAATGGTAAAAAGTGCCGAAGAGTTTGTCCCGACTAATAACAGTTGTGTGCAACGTTTATTAATACGGAATATATAGATAGGAGGACGTGTGTACTGAAACTATTTATATTTATTGCGTATTGGGCATTTTCTAACATTTTAGCAAAAAACTGTTGTCAAATGTGATACCATAGTATGATAAGTAATTGGTATCTATGAACTCATAACAAGTTAAATGTCACAGATACACACACATATGTAGTGTTAAAAAATATTTTATATGGTAAACATTTAATAAACATAATATTAGTGTTTTTCCTTTTTGTTGTTGTTTCATATTCTTATTCTGTCAGTTCTGTGTTTCTGTTTATAAGAGCTAAGACCTTTGATGTGTAATATAACAGTATCTAAAAGCCATGATGGAGATAGGCCTTTATTACTGTGTTATAGTAACTGTGGTTTTAGATTTGCCTTATAATACTTATATAGTTTTACTCTTCTTGCACTTATATTTGGCTACATAACATAACATGGAGGCTGTCAGGCTATATATATTATAAAAAACCTATATAAATTGTCAGATCCCTCTCATTAAAGAATAAGACATTGGATTATTTTCATGAGGATTGGGCTGGTTCCAATAAAATAGGCCAGTAAGTATAGAGGTTTGAAAACCAGCACTATTCTACAGCACAGTGTTTTAGATGACATCCACTATTAATCACATTAATCTCCTATGTTATCAGAGGTATTTTGCCACAATGCAGAAATTCCCACACACAAAGAACACACATGCTATAATGAAATAGGTGGCAGTTTCCAAACAGGGCTAAGGAAGACAACATCAACAGCAAAATTAGGACATAAAGAAGACAAGAGCCTGGATGAAAGTGAGAAACACAAAGTGTTGTGTAAAAATAACATGTCAGTCAGATAGAGAGGCAGAGGAGTAAAAACAGGTTTTAGGATTTGCTTTATCTGATGCTTTTGAGGGATAAGGAGTGACATTTTTGTCCCAACGCATCTCATGTGAGAGGTTGAATTTTGAAACGACAAGCTTCGCACAATGCTGTGAATTAATGTCGCTTTTGAAGCCCTCCCCTCATTCGATGTAAGTCCTCGTATTTTTGGCGATAAATTCACCTTAGAACACAAAAGCATCTAAACATAAACGCCACACAATCCCCACGAGTCCCGGCTGACACGCTCAGCCCACGGTCATCGCCAACCAGGAAGTGGATTAGGCGTTTTAATTATTGGGAGATTTTGCCGGTGTTGTTGTTTATTTTGGGATCATCCCTGGAAAGATAATGCACACTTCAAACTCTGTGTGTGTTTCTAATCTCCTCCTGGATGAAGCCGTTCAGC